TAAAAATGTTAATTGATCGCTGCCTTTTAACGAAGTCAAAAGTATCCTTGACATAGAAAAAACGATTTCTGTGGACGATGTTGCTCAATTATTTGGGTTAAATAATTCGTAACTGTAGTAACCAATGCTCGAAATAATTAGCCTTAACGAGCGATTCATTTTATGAACTTTCGGTTGTTCATGCGTAACAACTGCTGAGGACGAGGTCGATCGTAATTTATAAAATAATTGCTAATCAACTATAACATTTTGAATAACTCTTTGAGGTATCTATTCGTGTCGACTTCTTTTGTCTTTGTTACATTTGTATTCATCTTTTTAAACTGCTATGAATTCAAGATATCTTGAGCATTTGTAATATGATCAGTTTTATCAAGAATAGTAATAGAGTTACCCTTGTCGGCACGGCATAATTACAATATTAGAATTATTCCTCAGTGTATTATTTGGCTTCTAACTCATAAGCACTAATGTTATTTATATGTTTTCGTTCCACTTTTCTCATAAATTGTTGTGAATAGCCATGAACATGTTTACATAGTGCAGAAAAATAACGATGGATGACAATTCTTTTCACTGTAACTCATACTTAATTCAATATCCGTTTGAAAATAGATAAATCTAGTTACTTTTTGTTCAATGCAAAAATTGTATCCGTGACACAAAAGACATTCATCCGATGGTGTTAACTTATAAGTAGAAACATTGTGAATAATTTTACTTTGTAATAATTCGTAGTTTTGATCGAGGTATCCACAATTGAGATCTTCAACCGTTTTATCTCGTAATGTTTTAGATTTTTCTAACATAAATAATTGTAATTTTGTATAGTCAGAGGTACTAACTGTTGTTTGAAGATGATTTATCAGACTTTTAATTTCTTCTTGATATTTGGTTTGATCTCTGTGCCGAGAATAGTATCCTTGTTGTAGACAGTATCTCTTAAGGGATTTGTATTGCTGATTATTTTTTATTTTCTTTTTCCATATCCGTATTTTCACAAATGTTGGTGTTAGTCCATAAATAAGACACAATCGGATGAATTCGAGATCGCATTTTGGTTTTTATAACTTTAGAGTTAACCGTTCTATTCTTCTAATTGTATCGAATGTTGCAGCGCCATACAAGGAGATCCAATCAAGCTTCTTTGAAATCAAACTTGAGGTAGAGAGAACATACGGTTCTAATCCGAATGAAAATGATCCGTGGATGATTCTAGTTATACTCGACATCGAACAGTGATTTAAACTTGTGATTTTACGAAGTCATGCGCCCATGTCTTCAATATATATATGCTATGCGCAATATCTTCTTTTGTCCTATCTTTAAAATAAGAGAATGCGAAGATGGCACTTTTCTCGTGTGAAAAATTATTTGACTTTCAAACAGAAGCTGAGCATATAACACAATTTCTTTAATCTCCGTTTAATTACAACATAATTACAATACGGAAGGCAAGAAGATGATTTTGTTGAAACAGATTTAGATAGATGGATGAAGCAGTTTATCATCAACTGAAGGTAATATCGACTCAGATCCATCATCATCAATCACAATGATTAATGTCAAATGATATTTCAGTGAAAGAAAACCTGATAAATTATCGCATGCTTTGCAACATATAAGGTCCGGTTAGTGCAAAATTCGACGAAAAGTTTCTTTCAGTTTTTCACACATGGTTGGGTAGAGCTCATCGAGTTGCACGGAAAAACATTAATTTTAGTCGTTACAAAATGATGTTTCTGTGAAAAAATACAAATATTAAGTGACAGTGTAGATGAAATTTAGGAAAATTTTCAAAAATCAGTCCATTCTCAGCTTTATTATTTCTTTAAAATTTCAAAACTATTTTTTTCTGTTTCTATTGTAATATTTACCAATCGTCTAATTCGTTTTTGTTTGGTGCTCAGACTACAGGGACAACGTTCGTCTATAGTCAATGTAAAAGGGTCGTTTTCTTATTCTTGCACAACTTATTTTTGTTATATAAATAAAGCAATATACTAGTCCTACCACTACAAAACTTTGATTTTCTTCACTCAAGAGCAACAAGAAAATTTCTTTCAGTTCTTCAGTTTCTTTTTCCTTCCTTCTCGCTGTTTGAAATTGACATTTCTCTTGTTATTATATTTAATCAGGACGCACATCTCTTACCTTACCTGTCGCACGCTATTTGTCGTTTCACAAACATTTTACTTTCATTCTCGAAATTATGGCAACATCAACAAAACAGCCATGTGTCAAATGCAGTAGTGGAAAAACTAGTGGTATATTTACATGTTCGGGGTGTCAAATGCTATTTTGTCCAAAGCATTCAAACGAACATCGGCAAGAACTAGCAAAAGAGTTGGATAATGTCATATACAAGCATGATTCATTGAAACAACAACTAACAATGGAAACATCTGCAACGCCAGCTGGTGGTCATCCATTGCTGAGACAGATTCAACAATGGGAACAGGAGTCCATAGAAAAAATACGAATGATAGCTCAGAAAGCTCGAGACGAAGTTGATAGGCTAGTCAATAAAAATAAAGAAGACATACTGAAACAATTCCATTTAATAACAACACAATTACAACATGCAAGGCAAGAAGACGATTTTGTTGAAACAGATTTAGATAGGTGGATGAAACAATTGCACAAACTCAAAAGTGACTTAAATTTATCATCAGCTGACGGTATTATCGACACAGATCCATCATTATCAATCTCAATGATCAATGTCAAACGATATTCCAATGACAGAAAACCTGGTAAATTATCGAATGCTTTTGCAACTTATAAGGTGCAGTTAGTGCAAAATTTCAACAGAAGTTTCTTCCACTTTTTTGACATGGTTGAGTAGAACTCATCGAGTTGCACAGGAAAACGTTAAGTTTAGTCGTGATAAAATAAAAATATTAAGTCAGGGTAAAGTAGATGAAATTTAGGGAACTTTCAGAAATCAGTTAATTCCCAGCTTTACTATTTCTTTAAAATTTCAAAACTATTTGGTTCTGTTTCTCTCGGCAAAGCTGAATTTGAAATTTTTGAAATCTAAACTGATCTGAAGATCCGGCGAACAGGAGTAGCATACTTGCACATTTCAACATCTATCTTCTAAACCTTGTCCTAGGAGCTGCCAGATAAAAATTATCTTCTCAATTATACTATGCGGAAAAAGTGCATCGAGACCCTTTTTTTGTATTGCTTTCCTGCTGCTAAATACGATTTTGTGTGAAATCAGTGTTTCAAGACAGGAAGATCGAGTTTTACCAGTCACACCATCAAAAATCAAGTTTCATGCAAAATGAATCAGATATTCGGGAGCAGCGTCAAAACCTCAGTCGAATGACATAGGTCTTCAGCAAAATTAGACTTCAACTCTTCTTCACATCTTTTTCGGTAGATTGTACGGTTGGTCACCCAAACCCAGACGATGGAATCTGGAATCATGTTACTCGTGTCCAGCGATTTATACTTAATTCAGCTTTTTATACTTAGATTTACCTCCAGAATTAGAAAAAAATAAGATTACTTAACCAGAATCTTAACTTGTAAGATTAATTGGAAAGCTAAGATATTAGTAATCACCTACAAGTAGCGTTCATCATTCTGATTCACTTACCCTTGACTGGAAAGGAATTGCGAGTATCAAATTGTTTCTACACAATAAAATAATTATCTTTCTTGTTCACATTACATTCTGAAGAACATTCTCAACGAGCAGCAGCAGGCTAGTACTACGACAGTTCTGACGACCATCGTTGTTCTTGCAAGGCAAGAGGTAAATGAGGCACATTCCCAATTCTTAAATTCTTATTCTGAATCACTCTCGCATTATGTCTTGACGTGTATGTTTGTATGCAATGGTGTTTTTGACCAATAGGATTTACCGCAGGGTAGCTCATACTCGTTTTCCGATTCTCCATACTTACTACCTACTCCATATCATTTCCATCTAATGAAGTTTTGCGCTACTAGTTTGTGTGTCGCTAGTATCTGGTCTGCGTCAAACATATATACACACAGGCATTTTAACTCAATAAAACCCTTTCCTTTACAGTCAAGGAAATACACTTAACATACACATACACTTAACATTAAACTAACGAGGGAAGTACCTCAACTGATAAATCGCTTTTTCGACGAAACCGAGTGGACTATAGGTAGTCGACGATGCTGATTCCGAATATCACCATCAATGTTGCTGCTAGGCCTTCAAAGACCGGTCTTCTGGAAAACCAGTTTTTCAGAAACTCTAAACAACAAACAAAAGCTTTCTTAATGAGGCATAATTGTAGTCCATAAATTTCTGATTAAAACAAGGCATCTCCCAGCTCTACACGACCTTTCTTTGCAAAGTTATAGAGTTTACAAGAAGAGCGCTTAATGTTCATTGTCACCTCAGAGCCACAGAAAGAAAAACGAAAAATGAATTTAGGGTTTTTCTTGTAAACTCTATAACTTTGCAAAGAAATATCGTGTAGAGCTAGGAGATGCCTCGTCTTAATCAGAAATTTACGGACTACAATTACGCCTCATTAAGAAAGCTTTTGGTTGTTGTTTAGAGTTTCTCGAAAACTGGTTTTCCAGAAGACCGGTATTTGAAGGTCTAGCTGCAGCATTTATGGTGATATTTGCGAAATCAGCATCGTCGATTACCTATAGTCCACTCAGTTTCGCCGAAAAAGCGATTTATCAGTTGGGATACTTCCCTCGTAAGATATTAGCAGGTCATCAGCCAAGTGCTACAACGACTGTTTCTGAACATTGAAACTTCGGACGGTCTTGGAAGTTATAGTATCCCGGAAACAGGCTCATAGACCATGTTGCTACTGCAAACTAATTCTAACATATACTGTATAAGACAAACTTGTATAGAAATGAAGAAAGAAAAGAATACTCCTGAGTCAAGTGTTTGTGACTACCTGACACACAGAAAATGAACATGAGAAGCAAAGTAAAAATAATAAACTGTATTACGTCGGCGTACAAAATGCCTACAAACCCGAAAGACGTAAGGCTTGAGTCAGACTATGAAATATCGACCAAAGCATCTAGAAATTCACGAAGTATTTTTTGTCAGGGGTAGCACTCCACCGACAAGGAATACCAGTCGAACATTAGGACAGCATGGGACCAAATCGAAAGATTATTATGTGCACAAAGTAACGACACTCTACCGACTAAAATGAATGTTTCCTATGCGACTCAGTGAGCTCTACCCAGCCATGTCAAATGAACTGGAAGAAAATGTCGCTTAAATTTTGCATTGCCGGCACGGTACTTTCACCTAAATACAATCAAAAAAACAAACCGTGCATTGCGCTGAAAACTGCGTTTGGCGCTTTGTTCTCTTTCACCAATGACAGTTAATGTTTCTCTTCTCGGAGAAAGCATAATAATAAGTAAACATACAAATAAAAGGTACCTTTTAGAAGAAAATCTCGACGAAGCAACAGTGGATCATGAAAAATCGCGACATGTCGCTGTTCTGTTTTTCAGTTTTGTCTCAGTCCAGAGCCACTGCTTGTATAGAGGCGTCTCCAAACATAAATACCCACTCGATTAATCAACCAGAACTCAACTCAACACAAGGTATGATTCAATGCAGTTTCTTAAGAAAAATTCAGAACAACAAAAGTCAGTTTTGTTCTTTGCTAAATTTACATTATAGTGATGATTTGAGGATAAAACTAATTAAGCCATATTCTATCTTACGATATGTCAGAAATCCGAGTGGAATGAAACTCTTTTGTGAAATGTTTTGCTAGTTTTCATGCTCATTATAGATGTAGACCATCTTAAATCTCTTTTGAATTTTCGAACGTTCGTGACCATTATATCTTGCGTTTTTATTATTAGAACAACAGTAAACCTCCTCCCACAATAGAAGGCCATGGCCTTCTATGATGGTTTCGCACATCGCACTTTTTTTGGTGAAAAACTACCCTACAGGGAGTGAGCGGAAAAATTACCGCTATAAGGTGTTTTTCAAAACGTTTTCGCTTCAGACTGGCCTTTTATTAAAGGTGGCCTTCTGTTCTGGGGGGTAGTTATTATAATAATTTCTCCTTAGACTTTCTCGTGGTGAAACAAACTATTAGGTGTTATGAAGAGAAGAGAGAAATGCGCCTAATCTAGAAGCAGTTTTATAATGAGAGTTCAGTTTTCTTCAAAACTCAAGATCTTTGAAAATCTCTTCGAAGTTTTGTACAGCTTTCAATTTTAGCTGTAACACAGATTAAAAGTGCAACAATAAAAACCCATATTCGATGAGATTCAGTGTTTGCATTGATTTTAAAAGGTCTCTTCGGTATTGTCGTTAGATTCTTGTTTGAAAACGGCCGTTCATGGATGAAATACCATAAACGAATAAATACGAATAAAAATTTTCAGATCAGTTGCAAATAAAATCGCTTATCGTCAAAACTCAGAAAATATGGAAACGATACATTCTAACAGTGTGAACAGAGAACAGTTATGCCTTGTGTTCACTTCTCCGTTCTTCCGATGTCTCTGAAGCAAGTACGAATGACATAGGTTTTATATAAAAATATTCTTCATCAAAATTAGACTTATACTCCTTTCACGTCGTTTTTCGGTAACTTTCGCCATTGATCCTTCGAATGCAGACGTTGAAATGTGAATCTTCGTCCTTCCGATCTCTCTAAAGTAAGCACTGTTGAATTTTCCAAATTTTAGATAAGAAAAGAAAGACAATCAATTTTAACGATAGACCACCAGGTAAAATTAGTTGCAAAGTACTTATACCAAATGGATATCATGGTCTGAACTGGGAAAACGTCCGTTGGATGGAAAAGAACTTTGCAACGGGGTATTTCTTTGGCATGGATGAATCTGGTTTGACTCATCACATTGCTACTAATAACAGTGGTAATGACATGACAATAAGTTCTGGTCATCGAACATTTGACATGTATTCATTTGAAGCCAGTGCTGGTAGAAATAACAATTTACAATTGACTATATTTGGTTTCTGTAATGGATCCGAAATATACAAGAAAACGGTTACATTGCAATTCAAACAATTTCAGTTGATCGAGTTAAATTGGGCCACCGTCGATAAAATTCATTTTCATTCATCTGGTGGTACACCCCATCCTGGAAGGCGGAGTAGCGAAGATATTATTTTAAAACGCATAAATGTAGCATAAAAGTATTTGTATGTTTAGATTTAAAACTAGAGATTTTTATCTCGCATTTATGAAACAAATGGCATGATTTTCGAAAGATATCCCATGTGAGAAAAATCGCTTAAAAATCGGCGACTTTTACGTGACTTGGTGTTCGATTGTTGCGATGTTATGTCGCAATTAGTCGGCGAGTTTTTAGCGACCTTTTATTTCTAGTCGCGATTTATTAATGTTTTATCGGGACTAATCAGCGCTATTTTGCGACTTGTCTCTTATTTTTATTATATGTTGTTTGCTTGAACAATGCCGAAACATGTATTCTGAGAAATTCGTGCAAAAAATAGTCGCGTCACGATTAAAAATGCGAGCATTGTCAATTACTGGCCGCCCGCGTTAGCTCCACTGTAAAACCAACCGCTTGTCTGGACGGAGACTGTGAGAAATACAGTGAGCTGTGAATGAAAAAACCGATTTTGCAGACAAAACGCTGTGCATTGTTGATTCAATTTAGGAATTGTAGGAAAATGTTTATAACTTCTGCACGCAAGGTCATATAGAGTTGTGAGACGTCTTGCTCACACAAAAAAACTTTGCTCTACGGATTTACCATAATTAGACGATGTTTACAGCACTGATTCAATCTCTGTTCTATTTCATCTTCTACACTGCTTTCGATCTTAATATATTATCAGCAGCGTTTGCTAATTATTTTCCTTCTTTCTTGTAAGAGATATATTATAAAAAGAAAGACACAGACTAAGCCACTTATATTGGACTAAACTATCCTTCCGTTCTTTCTTTATTCTGACCTCTTTTTTCGGGGTTCCTCCAGTGATTTGATAAACTCTTTCAAGACTCTGACAACTTCATCAACGTTCTTGACTAGATGTTTCGCGTGGTCTCTTTCCATTTCTTAAAAACATTTTATCACTCTACATTGTTTGTTGAAACATTGTTCAAAACTTTTATCACTCTATCAACATCATCCATATTTTTCATTGTATCGTATTCCATTTGTATTATTCCGTTAATTGCACTTACTACTTGCTGTTTCAGTTTTTCAACAATATTTCCTAATTGTTCAACTTCATGCTCTCCAGCTATCACATCACCATTGGCTCTTTGAAGTTTGTTGACATTTTTATCGAGATATTGCATTGTATCTTTTTCTATTTCTTTACCGTTTGCTCAAAAAGCTTTTAAGTTTCTTTCAATTTATCAATATCTATTGGTAATCCCGTATTAAACCAAATGCAATGCATACATGAATAATACAAAGAAATAAAAACAACGAATTGTGTTTCATTTTCATAACAGAATATAATACTTTAACTTTAACTTTAAAGCCCAGTTTATGATTGAGCTCCTAGGTTATTATATACACTTATGTGTCATAAGCCGAGCAAATAAAAAAAAAAGAAGTAACACCAATCAGCGTATCCAGTTCAGACACCTTTTATGAATTCATCTTTCTGTCTGTGTCCACGTCATGAAGTGAAATTCAAATTTCCTCATTGCTTTCATTCAAAATGAATCACATCTGACAAGCACAATTCGATGAAAAAATCCGTTGGTAACTTGAGTCATCTTTATCATATTAAAAACATCAAAGAAAAGAAAAAAAAGAAAAAAGTAAATAATACAAAAGAAGTTATAAAGGTATTTTAAACAGCTTAGGAAATTGTGGATACTAACTGTAAATCAACCCTGTTCAACGGAACACTCGGACTTATTATTGCCACTTATCTGTGATTATGTGTTATTTTATTACTATTACAATGGTTTCAGGATTAAAATGTCAGCAGAAAAAAGAAAAAAAGACGAAACTGAACTTGAAAACAACGACATCGCATGATACACCGGCAAATGGACATTGAAATTTTTGTTATTTTATAGGAAAGAACATATTAGAATGTGAACAAAAAGGTATTCTGACGACAATAAGGACCTACGATGTTATGTAAAGCTATAACTAACGGGAAGAAGTCTTGGAATATTCATCTCATTATATCTTTCCTACGGCGAATCAATAGAACTGAGAATGCATTGAATTTGTTATTAACAGAGCCATTTCTAAATCTGGTTGCAGCTGTATGTTTCGATATAAACTAAAACCATCATCGGGTAATTGTGACTGCTGATAACATTGCTTCTGATTCTGTTGCGCGATTTGTTGAGCTTCACAACCATCACTAGAATATTTTTAAATAATTGAATAAACGTTTGTTGTGAGAAATGCTTCAGAACCATGTAAGAAATAAAAAAAGATGTTTCAGTTCAGGCAGCGTATATGTACGAGAAACTCGTAATTGACTGTTGTGATGGTACAATTCGAGAGTCAAACTGCGGTCCTTAGCTGTAGCCTGTATTGTAAACTCCACTGTAGAGACCACTCTCTGGAATCACAGCTTCGATTTGAGCTGAATTTTGTCGCGTATTTTTCGGCCAACGGCTTTTACTTCCCTCAAAGTTACTGCTTTCCAAATCTGTCTTGTTAGGTATTTTCGACTGCAGACAAAGTTTATTTGTACTACATGAGTGCTGAAGTCTGAAGTTAATTTTTACCTATTTTTGGTGATGGGAGGAGTGGTATCGACGCTTATTATTTCAAATGGTCGAGCTCGTGGAACTAGAAAAAAGCGATAGAAACCATTCAAAGTAAGATTTTCAAAAACAGGAGTTTTTTGAACTAACGTTAGCTTACTTGTTAAACTAAATACAACAAAGATACACAGCGCTTTCAGAAGCATGATTTTGTGATGATCTGAAAATTAATACAGTGTTCCATAATTAATCCTGTGACATGAATGACAGAAACCAAAGCAGTTCCTCGACTAAGACAGACACAAAGATCACGCAAGAAGTGGAGTGATACTTAGGCTACCTGGCGAAGAAATTCTTTACCCTAACTGAAACGGTTATTTCGATCCGTAATGCTTTTAATTTGAACAAAATTTGTACAGATTACCGCGCCGCATTCAGAAAGCTTTTAAGGTGTCCAACGTCATTTCCAAAAGAAATCATCATCGCTGCTCTATAGATAAAAGAGCATTTTTTTTTCATGACGGTGAATGTGCTATCGCTTTTTAATACGCTATGCGTAAAATTATTACAAAATATGTCCGTACGTTGTGAAATGTTTTCATGGTTACTATTTACATTCACCTGTAATTTTATATCGCATTTACTCTTTATTTTCTCTTCACCTGTGTTAAATTTCTGTTCGTCAAACCTTCAAACATCATCGCCATAAGTGATCATTATAGACAATTCCTGTTTTGCTTGTTTATGACCAATTGATAGTGCAATAAACGTTTTGTTTTTCTATCTACGTACACAATGTTTTTTTTTGAAGCGTTTTCTGTTTCTTGTGAAATAAAAACAAGTTCTGTGAAATATTAGGCTCGATATCGTATAAGGCCTTCTATTCTAATCAAAATTCACCACGAAGACTTTCTAAAAGTTTTCGAAACTCGTAAAAATCTTAAAATACCGATTTTGTTCCTTTGGCATTGGGTTTTTAACTACTTGGTAGGCTATGACTCAGTAGTCGGCAATTGCGAATGCGATTTTCAGAATGTCTTCAGACTTTGTGTGAAGCTTTCCTAACTGAAAACAACCAGATGAGAGCTTGCTAGACAAACAATCATATTTCCCATTATATATTTTGGTCGAACCTATTAACCCAGTAGCACTATTTCAGACAGAAGTTGTATACTATACACGTCGTGTCTAAACCTGTGATACGCATACTTCTTCTCCAATCGAATTGAAGAACGCGTCTTCCTTGTCACAATCTTTCACGACATTCTTGGTCATATCAATACATTTATAAGAAATTCCGGTACAGCTACTATCTTGTTTTTCATTTTATGGAACAACATCGAAAAATAATGATGGACGAATTTCCGAAGGAAATTAATTGACCGATTAAGTTATCTTCATGTAACTTGAATAATAACTGACTATGTTGATATTTGTAAACCATAACGTAGTAAATTGATACATACAAATTGAAATCGCTATCCATAGTAATACCCATCATAACCGCTATTCAGCTCATTATTTGAACCTCACTTATTGAGCCTGGCGTTAAAATTATGTTATAGATATTAACGTTCTATAATTATTGTGATTGGTTATGAAAATATTGGCAACACTGTCGACGTCCATAAAACTGTTCAAATATAAATTGTGATTTTTTATTGATTATATAACTACTGTTCAATAGTTATTATTTGGGTTCACTCGGTTCGTATTGCTGTTCATTAGGTTGCTGATGATTTTCGCCAGCGATTTCTTCTTTATTGTCGTTACCACTGGTTAGAGAGAGGTCCAATTTAGAAGACCGATGCACTAAACGTTTTCTCTGTAATGCAATTGTTACATTACATAATAATTGTGTTGCATGAATAGTACGGTTTTATCAATTATTTCCGACAACAATGTTTCTTCCCTCCGCCGTCTCATATAGAATTCGAGGTTATAAGAAAGAAAACCACATAAAAAGAATTACAATATCAAAACATGTGTTTTTTGACGAAAAAATTTAGGTTCCGACTAAAAACTGAATAACTGAGAGCACAAACGTTTCTGAGGTCTAAAGATTTGGATTTATGGGTAATTTGAACAACAAATTTAGTGAGCACACCTAAAATGAACATCATTTTTAACCCATTTAACCGACCTCTTTACTGTTTCTGTGAGATGCACGCTATGTATTTGAATAGAGATATAGGCGTAATATTTTGAATCTTTAAAAATGCTGAAATGTTAGCTGGAAAATCTTATCTCATATTTCTTATACTCAGTTAAGACAGAACCCACACGTCGATACAACTTTTTTGATGCAGTTTTCGACGAAAGAATCCGAATATGAAGTCAGATTTCCCGCGAACGTTTCAGCTTTTTTAAAAATTCAAAATATTACGCATATACCTCAATTTGGATATATAGCGTACATTCTAAAATTACCCATAAATCCAAATCTTTAGACCTCAGAAACGTTTGTGCTGTCAGTT